TTTTACCTGGTGGTGTTTGTGGCTTATCCCTCTCAAGAGGAGAGTAGGTATCTGCTCAGCTCCTCATCTTTCTCCATGGTGCCTAGGGCTGACCCAGTTTGTGGCCATCAACTGGAACCCTCCCTTTCTCTTTTTCACATACTTCTTCTATTCCAGGGCTAAAGTCGCTGCAGCTGATGGGCCTCCTGGGAACCCAACTCAGACCCTCACCCCTGTGAGGCACACAGTAAAGATAGACAAAGATGCCCTCCTCCAAGACTATGGATTTCACATTTCCGAGAGCCTTCCCCTCACAGTGGTGGCCGTCACAGCAGGTAGGAGCTGACTGGGGAATGAGAAAGGAGTTTTGGCTTTGTGAGGGGAAATAGCCCTAGTTCTCCTCCCATCTTTCTGTCCTATAACAAAATGCAGAAAGTGCTACCCCAGGAAGTTAGAAAAGGCACACCTAATTCTGACCTACTTCTGTTTGGGGCTTTGTACCTTCCTTTGGTTCTGGAAGGGAGCGAGAGAGCCCCAAGTGCACTTGCTGTTCTAAACCCCAGACTACCACTGACCTCAGCCAGGGCTTTGCCCACCCACAGCTCCCTGGCCATTCTTAGGGGCAGGGAAAGTGTTTGGATAAGCTGGCCCTCCTCTTTGAAGCCTGCATGCTCCTAGCTGGGGAGATTTTCTGGTCAGACAGTAATAGAAACTATTGATTTGTTTTCACTTGAATCTTTGTGAAATATAGGCTGCACCAGGGCAGAGGCGAGCAGACTGGGAAAGGCTAGTGTTTGTTTTCATACTTGAGCTATGTATTGATATTAGATCTGGGACTAGTTAAAATATATTAACTTCAATTTACACGCATGCACGTGCATACACACACACCCCTCCCCCAGAGTTCTTTAGAGATGAATGTAATAGATTCACCAGCCAGTTCTGTTCATTCAGAAGGTTTCTGCTAGTTTTCCTTTCTCGGGACCATCTCCTAACATCCCTTGAAGTTGATGGATGATAGGTACACTGTCCATGCTTTAGAAACAGGAAAAGTAAGGTCCATGTGAGCCCAAGCCTGGCTGAAGTTGGGGGTGAGCCAGTGCCCTGGGGACTGGATCAGGCTGCTATTTGGCTGTGCTGCTGCGACACATAGGGTCTGGGCCCTCCTGGCACAAGTACCAATTACTTATTTTCTGTCCAACAGGCGGCTCCGCTCACGGCAAGCTTTTCCCTGGTGATCAGATCCTCCAGATGAACAATGAGCCCGCTGACGAACTTTCCTGTGAGCGAGCAGTTGATATTCTGAGGTACTAAATTGTCTTCCATCATCCACAGAGTCACACAGATCATCACAGAACAAAAATGGTCAATAGGAATGGCCTAAGTGATCCCATGATTTTAGTAAGGTCCAGTCTCCTTAAAGCAGCAAGAACAGCCTTGTTTTGGAGTTCCAACTCTGTTAAGGTGGCTTCTCGGTGGTGGCTGTTACTATCTGCTCTCTTTCTGTCTACAGAAGAGCTTGGGAGTCACGGAGGGCCATATTGATCAGATCCCTGCTATGCCCAAGACGTTGTGCTAGGCGCTGTGGGGAATGTAATTATGAACAATGCATAGCCCCTACCCTCTAAGGATTTATAGGCTTGTCGTAACATATATCAAAAATTGAACTAAATTGATACTAAATCTGTTTGTTCTTCTTTAACCCTTTTGGTATCTCTTCTTAAATATTCTTGCAGATACAGCCTGGGTGGCATATATGAGGGTACTTCAGAAAGTTCATGGAAAAATAGAATCAAAAGATAATACGAGTCTTTCATTAACTTTTTGACGTACCCTCATATGTAGTTTCATTGATAAAGCACCCACTACTGTCTACCTGGTGTCGTTGGGATTTGTGTAAATGCCTCACTTTCTGCCTAGACCATGATCCCCTGAGACCAGGGAAGGTGAACAGTGAGTCCTCAGCTGGACAAGGGCATGTGGTCAGCACTTGGAATTGGTGGCCCTGGATTAAGATGGAGGAATGTCAGTGATAGGAGTGAAGAGGCCTAGCAGACATTGTATAGGCACGTGCAGGCTTTGGCTTTTAAGGTTTTTACTCACAATGTTTAGCTTTAATGTAAGTTAGGAGAGATGAGAAATCAAGTTAGGTGAAAGCTAACGTGAAAATACCTCTGTACTTCAGCGTGTACCTTTTTGTGAGCAGCTTATCCGGCTTCGGAGTGGTGATCATTTCTGAGCACCAGTTGTGTGAGGCACACACTGAACAAACTGCAAAGTCAGAGAAAATGGAGATGCAGGGTGCAGTCCCCACCCCAGAAAGCATGGTCTCTCTGTGGACATAGCCGCGTGCACCACACCCACACCGAGCTGAAGTTAAGACAGAGACTCAACCCAAATGTAGGGGACAGAATCCCTTCAACCAAGCCCAGTATTGCTTCAGGAATGTCAGAGAATAAGTTGAGTGGGTGGGGCAAGGATTTGATGATTTCATTTTAAAATAAAGAAGTATGATAAATGAAATCATCAAATTTGTTTTACCAATTATTGCACTGTTTTCTCAAAGATGATCACCTCCAGCAAGTGAATTTTTGATTTTCAGTGCTACTAATACATCTCTCGGGCCAGGTTAAACTTTGAGTAACAACTGGAAGTATTTATAATTTCAAGAAATGGGCCAGAATTTGGGTGTTTAGGTAACACTTAACCCCTGTTTGTTCACTGAGCACCTATCCTGGTAAGGAACTCTGTGGGACAGGGACTCCTCTCCCCAAACACTTACAGGCTGGTAGGGCAGACACAACTGGTACAAACCCCTCTGAGTTTGAGGGCGGACACTGCATCAAGAGAAGTGGAAGAAATGGGTTGTAAATGTTAGAGATTTCTAGCTTGGGAGGAAGTTGTAATTTGACAAAACAGAGAAGGGTCCAGAAGTATTTCAGCTGTACCTTTAATGCTGGGTAGAATTTGG